TTTTTTTTTTTTTTTGAGACAGAGTCTCAAGCTGTTACCCTGGGTAGAGTGCTGTGGCATCACAGCTCACAGCAACCTCAAACTCTTGGGTTCTAGCCTTAGCCTCTTGGGTTCTTGCCTCAGCCTCCTAAGTAGCTGGGACTACAGATGCCTGCCACAATACCCGGCTATTTTTTTGTTGCTGTTGTTTTAACTGGCCCAGACCAGGTTTGAATCTGCCAACCTCGGTGTATGTGGCCAGTGCCCTACCCATTGAGCTATGGGTGCTGCCTAAATTCACTTTCTATTAAAAAAAAAAAAAGTACCAACTCCTTCAAGCATGTTTGAATCTTCTACGCTGATCATATTTGACCTACTGCTAATAAAGAATACACATTTAAGTCATTTCTTTTTTAGTCTTTGTTAGGGTATGAACTTCTTGGGTGTAGATAAATTTATTCATATCTATGTTTCCAGTGTTTATCAGAGAACAGGATAAATTCAGAAATTTCAATAAATGCTTAATTGAATTAAAAGGAAAATTTTAAGTCTAGGTCAAGGATGCTACTGCCTTTCATACTTTTTTGAGTATAGCTCACAGTAAAACATATATTTTTCTTGGTTATACAGTGTACACATACACAGACACAGAAGGGAAGAGAGAGAAAAACAGTAGTTATCTCACTATTGAAATAAACTCTGTTATTTCTTATTCTAACTTCTATTTTATTTTTTAAAAAATTCTCACTCCTGATTACCAAATTAAGTGCTTAATTAAATGATCTATGTCTCTGGCTTGTTTTTGAAAACAACCAGCATAGGCAAAAAAAAACCATACTTTACTAATGTCGCAATTTTGCGCTAGAAAACTCCTATTAGTCTTTTGAATTATACTATGATATCTAATATATTCAGAGGTTTCCTTATTGAAATTCTTTAGGTAATAAAGATTGCACTTTAAATTGTAGCTGAAAGTTGCTAAAATTTTATGAACAGATCTTATAAAAGAAAAATGTTAACACACTAAGCAAATTATTGAAAATTGAGTGGAATTTCAATCACATTTAAGGGTCTATTGCATTACACAATGGGATAAAGTTTAGATTTGACTTAAGTATTGAAGATATATTGCCCCCAAGATGTAGATAACTTTTTTTTTTTTTGCAGTTTTTGGCCAGGGCTGGGTTTGAACCCACTACCTGCGGCATATGGGGCCGGTGCCCTACTCCTTGAGCCACAGGCACCACCCAAGATGTAGATAACTTTAAAAAGCATTGATTAAATGATTTTCATCTTTTTCCTTTTTCATTTACTATCATCTCTTAAGAAATTTTTATCTTCAAATTTCAATGTCAAATTTTAGAAACAAAGTTCCTTTCCCTATGTAAGAATACAAAATATTTCTCTAGAAAAATGTACACTTTTTGTTACCTAAATTTACATTTAGCATTTAACACAAACTAACTCACTTAATATAAGAAAGGATATTTTAATATTTAATTAATTAGCACTGTTGTCATTTTGTTAAAGTATAATTATTTTGTTCTCAATTTGTCATGGTTGCTTTTTCTTTCCTGATCAACTTCTTTTCAAATCTAAATTATAAAGGAAATAGGTTACACTATTTAATTTATAAGTACATTTCTGTATAGTCAATCTTCTTTCTTTAATGCATTCAATGGCATTGAAAGGAAACTGCATCTATTGGCATTATTACCACTTAATCTCTTTAGAGTATGTGAAGATTTCATGTGCTTTAGTCTACATTGATATGGCCTTATGATTCTTATATGAGTCATTAAAATAATGGAAATGGACTTAACTTAGGAAGAGCAACTTATAGCCTTGATTATAAATCAGTAATGTATAATTATATAAAGAAAGCTAGCCTACAGTAAGAGTTCCCACTTTGTGAGATTTGTTGCTGAATAATATCAGAAATACATATGACAATGTAGGAAAGTGTTATCATATAACCTATACACATTTTTCTTTTTCCTTTATTTGTAAGGCAGATGGATAGCACAGAACTATAGCCAGTTCTGGGGAATGACTTTGGAAGATGGTTTCAAATTTCGCCTCGGTACTTTGCCACCCAGCCCTTTGCTTCTGAGCATGAATGAAATGACAGTAAGTGATTTTTCTGATTCATGTATGTGCATATGTTTGTACAGGTATGTTCATATGTGCTTTTAAAGCAATTTTTAAATAACTAAAATAATGAGTTTTGAGCTTTCGCAGTCATAATTTTGTCCCATAAATCCAAAAAAATTTTCACAAAATGGTTGCTATTATATACCCCTCAAAAATCTCATGTGGGCTTGGAAAGTTCACTATTATCAATGATATACATAGTTCCTTTAAAGAATGACTTGACTGTCCATTCATATTGCTAATGACTCACAGAAATACACTTTTCTGATTGTTGGTTGTTCAGTGTACCAATGCTTCAAGTCGTAGTTCTTATTTTTTTTTAAACTAAACATAGTTATTTTGTGAAGTCTTCAAAACTTTGATGTCTCATGAAATAACCTTTTTCACACGAGAATAAAATAAAGCCGATAGCTTTAGAGGTGTATGCTATGATAATTAGTGATGGTTTTTCCTCAGAAATCCTCAAACTCTCTGTTAGAAGAATATTTTCAAATTTTCCAGATGACCAGGCAAACTCCTTCTCAAGTTCTTAGGCTTTATAATGTTTTTCCCTTTCATGTTTAAAAAGTATTATGGTCTAGCAATCTTTGTGCAAAGATCTTGCACAAAGAATCTTGTTTCTCTTTGGTTAGCACAAACCTCTTATTCACAGAGTGGCAGTTTTACCAAGCAATGTGTGGTGTTTCTCAGGCACATACAGTCTCCAGTTGAGATGTTGGCCTTCACAAGCCTTGAGTCTGTGACTAGTGTCTGGAGCAGAGCTGGGCACTCCGGTCTCTGGCGTGTAGCCTGTCCACTCCCCAGTGACGACACCACATTCTGGTTACCTGGCTGCAATCAGCATCTCTCCCAAGCAGGGTTGTTGTCTGCTTTTGGAGAAGTGTAAACCCATAGGTTTCTCTTTAAATATGTATTTGAAGTTCTTTGCTTTGGTTAGATGTAATTGCTTGAGTTATTATTCTAACTCAAATTTCGGTCAGAGGGCCTGCTAACTAAATCATAACTCGTGTCAGAGAAGACAGTGACTAAGATTTATTGAGTAGCTGTGTGATAAGCGCTTCAGCCCTCTCAGACATTACCTTATTTAATTCCCACGGCAGCTCGATGTAGGGGGTACTATCATTATCCACATTTAAAGACAAGCAAATTGAAGTTGAAAGAGGTTAAGTCACTCTGAAATGGAGAGGGGTTAAAAGCTGCCACCGACTTACTTAAATTGCAGAGTCAGGACGGCTAAAAAATCTCTCCCCACAAAAGTCACTACAACTCTAGTAGAGTCCGTTAGCTTTGGCTAGTGCAGGTTCAAAACAGCAAAAGTCTTTTAATTTCTTAACCAGAGTTTTTAATTTTTTTTAATGATCAACTTAGATTTTTTTTTTGGATCTTTCCATAATCAGTAAGCTATAAACCAGCAGTTCTCAACTGGTGGGTCAGGACACACAGGAACTGTATTAAAGGGCCACGGCATTAGGAAGGTTGAGAACCACTGCTGGAGATATAATTCAGATTTATGGTAGTGACCTAACTGTATGATCAATTGGAAAAGAGTCATTTTCTTTTTTTACTGGTTGTTTTCTTTTTCATTTTTGTTCCTACCCAGCTGGGAAAATATAGGCAGCCCTCTTAAGAAAAGAAAAGATAGCACTTTATAAGGATTCTGGTTCACTTGCTTTTATTGAAGGCCAAACACTCATTCTGGTGTCTGAAATTTTCTTGAAATTATTTCTAACATTTCCTTTACAAACTTTCGTTTTTGCAGTTTGGAATATTTTATATTCCAGAGAAAATGAGGTACATTTCTTTCCCGAGTTGCCACTCATCCTAGCAAAGAAAAGGCAATTTAATTTGGAAATCATGTATTGGCTCCTGGGGATTTATTTGCATAAAAGTCACTGTGGTAATATTTAAATGAAAAATCTTAATGATTACTACTTGGGGAGAATTTAAATTACCTAGCACTCTGAATTAATGTAATATAGTTGCGGCTCCTAGAATTGCCAAGTAATTCCATGGAAGCAGTAAGAGTTCCATCACCCACTTACCACACAGGGCAAGGAAACGCATCTTGTTTCTAGGACACAGTAGCTTGAGGACCAAGTTGCCGAGTATGGAAGAGTTGCCCTTATTATCTGGTTAAGTGAAAAATAATCAGTATTTTTGGGAAGAATATGAGATCAATATGAAGTGAGTTATAAGAAGAAGTAAAATAGGTTATTCTTAGCCTGGTAACTACATAGAAAACACCCAACATATGATATCAAACTGTTTGTAAGTACAGTGAAAATGAATTTTTTGGTGGGTGTACGTCCTGCAACTTTCCCCCAACATATTTTAAAGTAGACCTCTTACTTCCCTCCCTCCCTTCCCTCCCTCCCTTCCTTGCTTCCTTTTTTCTTTCTTTCCATGGTAGTTTCACTCTTTTACCCAGGCTAGAGTGCAGGTGTGTAGTCGAGCTCACTGCAGCCTCTCACTCCTGTATTCAAGTGATCCTCCTGTCTCAGCCTCCTGTATCTGGGACTAGTTATGTACCACCATGTCTGGCTAATTAATTTTTTTTTTTTTTAAAAAAGAAAAGTATCACTATATTACCAAGGCTGGTTTCCAACTCCTGGCTTCAAGTGAGCCTCTCACTTCAGCCTCAGTGGGAGTCAGTGGGATTATAGGTGTGAGCCACCACACCTTGTTTCTTTTATTTCAGTTTAGTATGAGGGTACAGATGATTAGGTTACATGGCTTGGGTTTGTAAGGTAAAGTCTAAGTTGTAGTGTGGCCCTCACCCTGGAGGTGTGCCATATATCCTCACATTGCACCCGTTAGGTAAGAGCTTACCAAGTCCTCCTTCTTCTACCCCTCCCTTACCTCCTTGCCCCCAACTGCAGTTTAATTGTGTTTTTCTCTTGTGTGGGTATTTGCTCATATACTGGTTTCATATTAGTATTGAGTACATTTGGATACTTGCTTTTCTATTCTTGTGATGCTTTACAAAGTAGAATGTTCTCCAACTCCATCCAGGTTAATACAAAAGATGTGAAGACTCCGTGTTTTTTATGGCTAAATAGTACTCCATGGTATACATATAACACAGTTTATTAATCCATTCATGGGTTGATGGGCACTTGGGTTGATTCCACATCTTGGCAACTGTGAACTGAGCTGCAATAAACAGACTAGTGTATATGTCCTTGTGATAAAATGATTTTATTTCTTCTGAGTAGATATCTAGTAATAGGATTGTGGGATCAAATGGAAGGTCTACTTTGAATTCTTTGAAGATTCTTCATACCTCTTTCCAAAGAGGCTGTAGTAGTTTGCAATCCCACCAACAGCGTAAGAGTGTTCCCTTTTCTCCACACCCTCAAAAGCATCTCTAGCATTGGGACTTTGTGATGTGGGTTATTCTCACTGGGGTTAGGTGATATGTCAAAGGGGTTTAGATTTGCATTCCTCTGATAATTAGGGATGATGAGCACCTTTTCATGTGTTTATTGGCCATTCATGTGTCTTCTTCAGCAAAGGTTGTGTTTGTATCTCTTGTCCAGTGATAAATGGGGTTATTTGCTCTTTTTAGTTGATTAATTTGAGTTCATTGTAGATTCTATCAACCCTTTGTCAGATTCACAACATGCAAATAACTTTTCCCTTTCTGAAGGTAGTCTGTTTGCTTTGATTGTTGTGTCCTTAGCCGTGCAGAAGCTTTTCAGCTTAAGTCCCATTTACTTATTTTTGTTGTTGCAATTGCCAATGGAGTTTTCTTCATAAAATTTTCCCCCAAGCTGATATCATCAAGAGTTTCCTAGGCTTTCTTATAGAATTCTTATTGTTTCCAGTCTTAGATTTAAATCATCATGAGTCAATTTTTGCAAGTGTGAGAGATGTGGGTTTGGGTTCATTTTCCGTCTTTTACATGTGGTTATCCAGTTCTCCCAGCACCATTTGTTGAATAGATATTCTTTACCCAGTGTAAGCTTTTGTTTGAAGACCATTTGTTAATATATAACAGGCTATATGACAGTTATGGTAGGCAGTTGTCAATAGTGATATGGTTTCATGCATGCTGAGAAACTCCACTGCACCGTCACCCTCAAATATCTCAATATCCTTGACTACATTGCCTGGATAAGTGTTGGGATTCAAGGAATTATTTTCCCCGAGTGAGAAAGATGACCCATGAGTCATCCCGGATCCTGGGAAAGCTCTTCCTTTCCTTGGCTCTTTTCCTGGCTTCATTCCTTAGCATAAGTCATTATTCCCATAATGTGTCTACTGAGCATGAGATGGAGAAATGTCAATATTCCATGATCATGTAAGTGTGAAAGATCTGTTTTACCTGTAGCAATTGGTTTAATCCAAACGAGTTTTGCTGAATGTGATTAGTAACAGTGAGGAACAGAAATATGTTGCTAGTGGGAATTTAGGAAAAGATAACTTGAAACTTTAGGAAGGGGGAGTTCCTGATGGCAATCCTAAGTAAGGGCAGACAAAAAGATATATAAACTTGTAGTTCCCTCAGGGTACAAACACAGTGGGTAAGAGGAAGTTAAAGAAGGCAGAGAAAGAAGGTTGTGGGGTACCACCTAAACCATGTAGCCTGCTTGGTGAGAAATATAGGAGCATCCCTCCATGAGGTGATGCAGTCCTAAGTACACAGGGAATGGCAAATAGAAGTTTCCTTTGAGGTAATTATTAACAGAAAATAACCCCTTTAAACAGAAACAGTGATACACCAAGGCAAAGGGCTTGGCAAGGATGGCAAAAGACGAATTCCATTCTTTACTTGAACTTTGAGCTAGTCTTTCTGAGGCACTTGCAACTTGTAGAACTGTAACCATCCCATCCATGGTCCAATGGATTTGTGAAATAGCATGTTATATCTTCCCTCTGAAGATTCCTACCATTCATTATTATTCAGATATTTCAAATGCTGAGAATTCTTATTGTATTAACTGGGTTTTATTTTTTTCACTCAATGTTTACTA